CATGGCCATAACATACGAACTTGTCAAAAAGGAGAAGAAATATGTGAGGATTCCGATTCTGAATACTGTAATTAATTTAATTAATTGTGTCGTGAGATATTTAAGAATTTATAAAATGCCAAGAAAAAATCCATTTCGCTTGGGAATCCAACTCGCTTGTGGACTACGTTACTCTTTTTTCGTTTCTACTATAATAATATACTAAACTTATAGTAGAGTTTTATATTGACTTTACCTCTTTTCTATATAATAGGCAGATAGTAAATTATTGATATTGGGATTATTGTTAGTCCTATTCTAAGATTTACCAGATCAAATGATCTATGAATATACCTGAAATCACCAGAACGGACGAGCACCTCAGATATCATTTAAGGTAGCTCTCACATCGCCTAATATGCAAAATGGCGGAGTAAGAACTCTTTACTTCGTTGCAGACTCGCAGGCGAAATAATTGTAGATTTGTTAGGCTGGCTAAGGTTGGCAACAGGGTAAACCCCCATGAAAATGCTACAATTATTTCGCCTGGGACGAAGTATATTAGTACATCCCATGTTGTTTTGACCGGCAATGCAGGATCCAATGTTAACAAAGCAACTATGACTAGGAGTTCACGTTAAACTGAAGAGGCGTGCGCGATAAAGGCTGGAGAGCTAGGAAACGACATCAGAATGAGCGTGAGAAAACGAAGGTAATGTACCACACTATATACAGCCTAGTCTCGATGTATATCCATCTTCCCCAACCCATATCAAACTTTCATTTCGCGTATACTATCTACATCCCTTGTAAGATCCTCCGTTACTTCGCAGACTCTCGGAAGTCTTTAGGATTTACCCAAAATCCATACCTCTCCATCAGCCGAAGTATCACTGGTCATGTATATTCTCCCAGAGCTATCAAAGTTCAAACCTGCAGGTCTGAAACATCCCGAACTAGCAACTGGACCATTGCCAGCACAGCTTGCGACGTTGGGATTCCAAAAAACATCTGTGTATCCTGTATTGGTTGCCAAAGGAGATACTGGCTTATAAGCTCCATCAGAACCTTTGGTGAATGGAACAGCGATAACTTTGAAGCCGGTCGTAGGTGATCGGTCCCAGGATCCGTGGAACGTGACGTAGAGGGTGCTGAAGGTAGGATCGAACTTGCTATCAATTGGGGCGGAGTGAGCTTGGAAAACCAGAGCTGGAGCGACAGCAGTTGTTTTGCAGGTTGCATCATTGAACGTAGAGTTTGGAGAAACCACAAAGTGGTCGCCAACTTGGAATTTCTGGTCTGTGAAGTCGCTAGGTTTCCAAACTGCAAAGCATGTTGGATACCCGTACCAGTTGTCATTCGGTTTTGTGATATCACCAAGATAGTTGAGCTTCTCGGCGGGGTTGTCTTGGTGAACGTCTCGTGATTGCCCGTTGACTGTGCGCTTGAAGTCATCGCCGCTATTCTCGACCCCCCAAAGCCTGTAGAACTTTTAGATTAAGCTTCTTATAGGTTATTTTAGAGATTCTCACATGTTGTTGCCGTCGAAGGTTATTCCGACTTCATTTCGAAGACCATACCCAGCATTCCAACCCTGTGAAACATAATTGTATCCATTGGCAGGAACTTTGCTCAAATCAAATACTTTAACAATCGCACGAGCGGTGGCTTTGTTCCCTGCTGCGTAGTCAAAATTGGCGTTTGATCCATGAGAAACAACCAGCAAATTGGGGTTCGCTTTCGATATCAGAAGTGTACGACTGACATGTGAACCTACAACGAAGCGGTATCAGTAAATTTCTAGAGTTTTGGAATAAATATTGTTCTCTAAGCCAGAAAGGCTCAGGTATATACTTACCACCGTTGTACATTCCAGTTACTACTTGACCTCGAGTACCAACAGATGAAGAGGCACCGTTAGCAGTGTATGGCCAAGAATATACCGTTGTTGAACTACTTGCATACAAGGTCTTTCCATCTGCGCTCAACTCCAGGCCATGATTGAGAGTATTCAGTGAGACAAGGGTCTTGGTCGATGTAACGCAACCATCCGGCGACATTACATGAAAAGTTATGCCTTTTCCATTTTGAATGAGTAACATATTACCCTGGGAATCGAATACAATAGTCCGAGGACTTGTGAGTCCTCCTAGAATCTTCGTTGCCTTCCATCCGCTCGCCAGGACCGAAGAAAATTTGGGATTACCAGCACCAGAGCAACTGGTTGGAATCTTGATCGAGCCTGTGATGGTTGGCTTCGCCGTGGTTGTAAGTGTTGTGGGCGTGGCCGTGGTAGAGCTGGCACTGGTAGTGGTTGCAACAATTGGCAAAAGATTGCTCGAGACCAACGAGTCAAAGTTTGCATTTCGGGCAGCATTCAAGTCATGATGCCATTTTCCAAATGCTGCGTGTGCATTGAAAGCAGAAGCGTTGTTGGCAGGTTCAGTGACCGGTGAAGTACCTTGGGCCCATGCAAACTCAACGACTCCAGTCCCGTTTAGAGTTGTTATCTCTCCATCACTTCCTTGATACGTAGTGCATCCTCGACACCGGGCTGTCATGGTCCAATGCGTCGCATTAGCGGTCGTTCCTTTTAACAGAGTATATTCTGCACCATCATAGGGTTGGGGCATATTAAAACCACTGTTAAATGTTAGAGCATCCAGGTGGCATTAGGAGGCATCCATACAAGGCAAAACGGGACGAGGGCACTGCTGTGACACCATTCCTCCACGAAACTGTGAGGGGATTGAAGACCATGGTACCTCCCCAACAAAAGCCAGCCCAGGTGGTGGCTACTGGTGCTGTAACTGAAAGAATGACATCGTAAGGAGCTGTCGTGTTCTGCGGGAGAGCAATGCTGTACTTGACCCCGGTCTGGGGAACTGTATACGTCGAGTAACATATTTTTGTCAGTCCATCGCAAGCAGTGGTGGAGTCAACTTGTGCATTGACAACTGTGAATCTAATTAGTCGCCAGTAGACAATGTCATCAAGCGCACCAAAGTAAATGATGCTTACCATGGCTGGCGAGAGCTGCCGCACTCCCTAGTAGTTGGATTGCACGCATTGTGGAAAAGTTGAGAAAATCAGCAGAATTTCTCCCGAGAAGCCAACAATAGATGCATCGTCCTTATGTGCAAAACGTCCATTGCCGCGAGTCCAATACTGGCCATGGACGGTTCCTGGTCGACAATCTTGCCAACTCCTCGTTATTCCATAGTATATACGAATTCTCGAAAAGAGCCGAAAGGTATTGGCCAATCCGTGGAGTTTGAATTGTAATTATTCAGCTAGGGTATATGATGATCGGATAGATGTCAATAGGCAGAAGGAATAGCTCGACCAGTCCTTGGGCACGAGACTGGCAGCTCTTTTCTCCATATTGCTTGTCTATCTAGACGTATAATCATAGAGGATAACAAAGAGGGCTTTCTTCCATATTGGTCCACTATTCTGGATACAACCGTGTGATGAGAGCAGAGCAATACCAAAAATTACTGTGACTTGATCTCGGAAGAACTCGAACGACCCGGCAATATATAACTCTGCAAACCTTGGTCAGAAATCAACCATTCTTGGAGAGGCTTTTCCGGGAGTGATCTCGGCCACTAACATGATTTCAGGCAGTTTGCGCTGCCCGGTTACTCGGTTCTTTTGGATAATATGATCAAAGTGCCGCCCCTTTCCACTTCACCCCAAACGATAAATGGTAGGCTGGAAATAACGGATGAAAGAAATGGAGAGATTAGCTAAAATAAAAAAGACCCCCAAATCAGTATGCGGGCTTGGCGGAGTAGATAGGAATTGTACTCGTTCCAAGTTGAATAATAACAGAGGCTCATCCACCTGGGCTCTGCACGTGACTTTCCTGCTAGATGGAACCTTCAAGTAATAGGATATCACTCGCGGGGTTTCCTCCTTGTTTTGCACGAAATTCCTTATATGACGATAACCCTCATATTAGATACATGAACCGTGATTTCCTTTTCAGCCATGAAAGAAGTAACGGGGAGCAACTGCAGCTGCTCTCTTCTACCCCACAAAAGAAAACCTGGTTAAATAATGGTCTCCATTATTGCGGCATAAATATTTCATGAATAAACTACGAGTATTCGTAAGCCTACGCACTGGCCATTACAAAAACCCCGAGCCCCACGGACGGGCCACACCTCCCGAGCCTATTTTTATTCTTTTACAATTAGGGTAACGGCCGAAAGGTAGAAGTAGAAGGGTTAAGCTCAAAGATTCGGGGTTACTTAGAGATGAATCTATGTTTTGTTTTCTTGTATGGATATAGTCAAGTGCTTACGTTTTATGCCGGATTTATAGAGACCATTTGTTCGATTTCGGTCTTTTGACTAAACACCGACAAAGCAATGTATCCACAAGGCCATCTCTTACTCCGCGAATGCTCACTAATGGTAGGCAGCATGTTTTATTGGGTTTACCTACTTCGTCCTAGGTATAATAAATGTTAAAGCTTAGTGGGTATAAGAAGGTTTTCAGTGGAGTACGGGTAAAACCTTCACTAAATTTTGACATTCATCAGGCCTGGGACGAAGCATTCTACCGATCTGATTGGCGAGATTACTAAGGCCAAACCTAGTAGGGCATTCTGCCTACCGGTAGAGAGCGTTCACGGATAGACTTTATTCTTACGAGTCGTATCAACATCAGCGCTGAAGTACGTACGCTCTTTATGCGGAATTTTCATATTTCTGATTGGGGTTGAGGTTTACATTGATTGTTGGGGTTAGGGCCAGAGTTAGGAAGGCTAGGGATATTTTATGGTTAGTGGAATATAAATAAAAGATCTTTGTAAATATTGTTATTTTTCTAACTATTCGTTGTCGCGCAAGTTGCCGAGTTGGGTACTCGTAAGATGAAGTGGATTAAGCATACGTCAAAAATTCGATTTCAAATGTGCTTCGTAAACTTATTGTCTTAGTCTACGTACTTCAAAGCTTATTCTTTTCGTAAAAGGGTTCTACTATCCAATCAACTCATATAATGCTATCGATACGAGTCTCCCAGGAGTTAATAATAACCTCAAAAGGGTGAAAGCCCACTTCTCCACCTAACTTCTGGGTACACCGTGCGCTGTTCCAAGGACGGAGTTGGAGAAACGTAATGACCGTAAACCATGCGATGTTCCATTTAAGAACGGTCTCTCGCGCGTTTGCGCTCCTCACCCTCTTCTCCCTATCACCTTAATCACACGTTCTCTGCCTCTCCACCTTAATTTTTCGCTTTTACCAGATCACATTCGTTTACAACATAATCAACACAAACATGAAGTTCTTCATCTCCCTCTTGCCATTGGCAGCTATCGCAGCTGCACAAGACACTCTCGCACAAGACGGACTCGTTCCTTCTACCCTCGTCGCTCCTACTGGAGACTTTAGCCTCGGAGTGTGGAATCCAATGAACTCCTGGACAGGAAAAATCGTGAACGCAGTCGCCGGCGGTTTCTTTGTCGTAAGAAACTTCACCCACACATGTACAGTAGAGATAATTGACAAAGTCACAGGGAAAGAAAGCAAACACCACGTCTTGCCCAACTGTTGAGGGGCTTGACTGTTCCCTCTTTCCGGGCAACGAAACCGTGCTTACAGGTGGAAATGGAACTCTCTTCTTGAGCGTTGCCGTTCCAGGTGGTCAACAAGGTATAAATGTACACGAGATCTCCTTTTGACTCTAACTAATACATCCTTAGTATATGTCACCCCATCTGGTGCTCTTGGTTACACCCCACCACACACCACATCCAAGCCAGATGGTTCCCTCGTCGATGGCTTCCTTCGTTACCAGAGCCAGACAGGTGGAGCCCCCATTCCACTTTCCTTCCAAGACAGAGCCTTCAAAGCGTGCCCTGTGGCCAATGAGGAGGGTGTCTTCCAAATCTATTCTCAGGCCGTTGGAAACCCCGAAGACGAATGTGTTTACGTCCAACTCCGTACCTACCCTGGATCTCTCCACGCCTGGCAATACTAGATACCCCTAGCTTGGATTTTTTTGGCATTATGAAGAATACTCTGAAAGGAACTCGATGTTTGGATGAATAAATGATACGCTCGATATGATTCAAACATAAAACTTGGTATCTTCAGACCTAGAATAACTGTGATATGACTTTCGTTAAAACGGCCGCATGACCGTTTATGACTTTCATTTTGTCCATGTAGTCAAGCATACTTTCCACTGAATAAACCATTTGTTTCAAGATAGAAGATCTCTTCCCATCCTGGCTTTTGAATCAAGTCTTTCCTGGGGATTACTGTTGTCCCGATTATGCCGACCAGTGGTTTCCACCGCACGGAACCTGCATATATTGGGACAGGAGTGTACGACAAAGGAGGGGCATATGCCAGGGCCATATAAGCCAGGCTCCTGCCCCACAGTACGTACTTAGCTCCCTAGTCATCTGAAAACAACTCCTCTGGCGCCCTGGCCTTCAATATTCCTAGCAACAATTACTTATGTCTCACTCTCAAGCGGCGATGAAGTTATGTTCAGCAGTTGAGTAATTGCCGGATAAATCTCTACGGAAGTAGCTGGTAATATTTTATGATGATAGTCATACAAAGAGTCTTATCAACATTCAGATTTTACCTACGGAAGCTGGCCGATCGTTTAAGTTAAGTATTCCAGCAGGTAAATGGCGAACATTTTCTCAATTTTCATCTGTGATTCTGTGGCAATTTCTAGAAAACGGAGAATGTCGCACCACATAAAAGAACCTTATTTACCTCATAAGGCAGGCAGGGACAAGTGGCAATGGTTTCTTGTCTCCACATACCATTGGACCTTTCCCCAATGATCAAGAGATGTCGACCACAGAGTTGCGAGTCTCACCAATATCCGTAATCCTCCTATCTCATTCTGTTCTCTTCCTGGCATTTTGGCCTGTGAACTGACAACAGCTGATTCAATGTATTGTAACTTGACAGTAGGAATGAGTTACGTAAAAGTTATCAGCCTCAAATCCACCACCAATCTGTTATGGTGGGGATCAAGGAATAGATTGTTCGCAAGGAGGGAAGAGAGACGCTCTTCGCACTCCTTAGGTATTTGTCTATCTACGGAAGGGTACACCCGCAACTTCACTAAGCGAACCCTTATTCACTAAATCAAAAACTGTCACACAATCGCCGATAATTCAACGACAAATCTGAACATAGGGCTGTCATAGATCTAAAAAAAAACATATTATCAGATCATGAAGTACTAATCAACCAGCCAGAATCATTCCGATATCCAGAACCTTACACTTGACAGACCCCAAAATTATAATTTTAAATGCGCCTATCTTGCTACTGTATTACCATTATCACACTGGCTCTGACAGACTGACACAATGCTAATTTGCTGGTGAACAAGATGGGTACGTAGATTTAGCTCCGCACTGCAACTATAAGCCCTGTCACTCACATTTTCCGTCGAAAGCCATCCCAAATGAATTTCCGGATGATGAAGGGAGCAAATTTGCTGGTATATTTGATAGTCCCAGCTATACTCGACCTCAGGCTGGTAGATTTGGGATGCTTCATCGACTGACCAACCCAGCTATCCCCTTTGAGAGAGTGGCCTATCATCCTGATGGCTCCAAGACTGCGGAGAAAAGAATACATGAATATGCCAGATCTACAGAGTCAAATCCTAACAAGCTCAAGTTATTCGTACTCCTCACACTGAGGAGTCTGTTTCTGAAAAATCCAAAGGAAAATAGAAGGAACTTATACTCAAGGAAACCAGATCTAGAAAGTCTACTCCTACTGTAAGAAGCAAACCATCCCAACTCCTCACACCAAATAACCCTTTTCAGAAGATTCCAAAGACAAAGAAAAGAAGGCTATACTCACATAAATCCAAAAAACAGCGATTGAAAATCAACGGCAAGATTGCAAATGAAAGCAAAATCTGTAAAGACCGTAGTATTTATAATGAAAATAATGTTTTGTTGTGCTGGGTCTACTTTCTCTTTTGCTCCACTTCCTTATTTGATCCACTTATAGTTCTGCTGCCTAAATGCTTCATCTCTGCCTAACCCTTACACTCTTTATATAAACACCTTAGATAGCTACCTTTTACAATGCAATCAATTCTCCATGACCTTCAGTACCCAATACCCTTTCAACCCAATATGTTTTTTAGAACAGATGTCTTACAGCTTCTGGTAAGACTAAAGAGAGACAATCAGAGGGTCGTTAGTATAGACATAGTGCCTAGTAGGGGGTAGAATGAATAGTGTCCACATCATTCCCGTATTGATTTCTGGTTGTGTTTTTTTAGAGCTAGAACAGTCTCGCCTCTCGCCTCCTTATGTGACCGAGTTGCTGGACTTCGTCCTGGAGGAATTTCTATAACCTTTCAGGCGGTACGTATCTAGTACCCTAGCACGAGCCAACTCCAGGTCTTAATCTTGGAAATGTGGTGCTCAAGCCAGACTTTCTATCCATTCATATCGTACCGCTTCAACGCCATAAATGTACATTGTGCGAGCCTTAGAATATTTTCTATCTCCCAATAAGCGCACAAGGTGTTTTGATTCTAAGGCAAACCGTCTCGATTTCATACCATATTACAAAGAAAGTACTAGCTAAGAAGACTTGATTATCGCGAATAAACGGCGAGAGTCGTCCCCCGACAAACATGGCTCTCGTTAGTAACACGCGCGAGACTTGCTACTATTTATATACAGACCCTTATATAAAATAAGTTAGATATGCAGAACTTTATGAGATGAACACGGATTAGGGTTATCTTTGCGCCTCTTTCAGCAGAAAAGACCTGAAAACTGCCGTGGAAGGTCTTCTAGCTAGTTTTTTCCAACACGCACTCATACCCTTGCAAAGTCTTCAGTTTAGCAGTATTTCAGAACTTTTTGGACGAATCGAAATACTCCAACAGCAAGAAAGGTTGTAACAAAAAATGTGACTCATGATGCGATGCAAATTTAAAGAAATTAGCAGCTTGATTCAAGCATTAAATCCAAACTCCGAAGTCCGCTGCGACTTTGCGAAGTTTCCAACCGACGATCGTCTTCCAGTGCTGCAGCAACACAATGGCTCCTATGCAAGTACTAAATGTGGCCGGTCAGATTCTACTTAGTCCTCTGCTGAAATTCGCATTTCCGAATGGTCATATAGGTTTGGGGTAACTGGGAAAGCGTTCTTGCTCATTTCATTATTCCGCGTTGCCCAATGAAGAAATCCGTGAACACGTTCTCGAAACATAACGTGAGTCCGACCATTCTTGCCTGAATTGTTTTCTGTCTGTATCAAAGCCTGCCTGCCTTGAGGGACAAAAAGGATTGATTTTCTCGGCCCCTTTAACTTTTGTTTTTATATACTCACTCTAATAGAAGAACAGAAATAGCATGAACGACGGAAGATGCGTCACCAGAGGAAAACTGGAGATATCATGGCCCTACATAACCTGTATCCTGTATAAGAAGGGAAGGTGGTACAAGAAAATCAGCTGACACTCTCAGTCTCCAGCGGCGCAGCATAGGTCTTCTGAATCTTTCTCGTCTCCTTTCTTATTCAAAGCCCACAATAATGAATTCCAGTTCCACAACTCCATACCAGCCCCTAGTTTCCTCTTCCGAGATCCGACTTCTCTTGTTGATGCCTGGATCAACTGATAGTCCAATCCAATGTTCCCTCGTCCATACCAAAATCGGAGAAAACCCCTATGAAGCACTATCGTATGAATGGGGAACATCACAGTCTAATGAGCCGAGCATATATATTTTCGACGCTTCATGTCAAGCACTGAGAATGGAGTATAAAGGACTCTCTCGGTTCTGGTTGAACAAAGTCAGAATACACCCATCCAATCCCACTGGCCAAATCTCGGGAGCTCCTCGTCAAGTGCGCCACAATCTTTACCATGCTCTTTCTCGTATTCGACTAGAGCACAAGGAACGATGTCTATGGGTAGATGCATTGTGTATCGATCAAGCGAACCATGGAGAGCGGACGCATCAGGTGGAGATGATGGGCAAGATATATCAGTCCGCCGAGAGGGTAATAGCCTGGTTAGGAGAAGGAAATGAAAATGACGTTCTCGCGATGGATACGTTTCGAAAAATCATTGCATCCTCCGGATGGGGCAGGCAGGACCACCCTGTGATTTCTATTGGCAGAAATGGCAATGTAAAGAACGGTGTTGATGTCTTGAGAGTTCAAGCTATTGTCGACTGGGGTTCAAAATCATACTGGCATCGTCTTTGGATTGTGCAAGAACTTGTTTTGGCCAAAGACCTACTAGTGATTGTTGGCCGAGAATCCATCACCGGAAAAGAACTGGACTCCACAATGGTCGCTCTCGAGCCCTTTGCTGTGCTCATCGCTGGTGATTCTGCAACCAAACTTATGGGGAGGACACTAACGGAAAGATGGAAAAACATTTTGGCTTTCCCTTTGCTACTTGCTCGTCAGAAGTCGTCAATCAAAACGTCTATGAGCTTGGATGGTCCCGGCGGCAGGGGACTTTGCGATTGGATGCTACGGTGTTCTGATAGTGAGTGTATGGACCCTAGGGATCGAGTGTATGGATTATTAGGGGTCTCTGAGGATATTACGAACCTCGAGGAGGCCCAGGTAGCGATCGAAGTTGATTACGAAAAAACTCTTCTGGAAGTTTATTGCGATGTTGCAAGGTTTTGGGCAGCGAGGAACGGTAGGAGTATGACGAATAGTGCGCTGGGTATCGGTCTTAGAAAGCACTTCAATTTGAGAAGTAGTGACATTCGTAGTGCCAAGGATGAGATTGAGAAGGCCTTTTATATGGGGAGAAGAGTATGGGCAACGAAGAAGTTCCCGGATTTGGTAAACTTCCCAAATCGTTTAGAACGAACGATACGCGACACTGGTTATGTGTCTTAGTTAATTTATAGTATAAATATAGTTCGAATATTCATTAATACTACGAAAGAAGCGAATAAGTTGTTTGTTTAGTATATATAGATATACCCGCTATCTATTAATCTCTACTAGTATAGTATATATATTAACTTATAAGTAATTTATAATTAAAAGAATAAAAGAATATTTTATCTTATAAGAAACGTAGTAAAAGATCTAATACTTCTTTCTATTCCTAAGAAAGATTACTATAATATTCGCGATAAAGGATTCTATAGCGTTTAATAAGCTCTTCTATAAATATAATAAGAAAACTAAAAATAAGGACCCTTTACTAATCCTATTATCATTAGAAATTTCACTATCGATCCCTCCTCTCATCATCGTTATATATTACATATATTAGGTTATAGACGGGAAGAAGGGTTTAAATATGTTCTACCTATAAAAACCCTTTTAAGTCACGCTGAGTGGTAAATACTTATGGAATTATATCTATCTATATATTACCGCCTTCTTCTTTTCTAGCTTTCTTGGGAGAAGTGTAGAAAGGGACTTTTACATTCTTACTCTTATACCCCCCCTTCTCCCCACCCGCCTTCTCCTTCTCCTTCTCCTCTCCTCTATTATACTCTACCACCCCACACCAGTCCCCAGCACCCATCTATCCCCTAACTACACACTACATCACATCACTAACCTATACATACACACCATACACATTATACACACCTTACACGCCAAACCAGAAATCAGAAAGCCTATTCCCATCCCTCTTTCCACCCCTCCTCCACCCTCCCCCATTCAACACCCAAGACCCACCACCCCCAAAAACCCAAAACCAAAACTAACACTACATTCTCCTCCATACCTTCCCCTCCAATCCTCTCCCCGCCAATACCCTCCATCTACCTCCCTAGTAGATATCTATCTACCATACCATACCAACACCCTCCACCATTCCTAAATCTTGACCACTAAAATTCCATGATAAGGAGGCAGGCAGGCAGGCTAATATACCAAAGACAAGATAAGACAAGACAATGATTGAAATTACATCTAGTTTTGAGTATGAATGTCAATATTGAAAGGATTGAAAGGGGTTGGACGGTTCGACGGATGGAATAGATGGAATGGAGAAAAAGGAGAGAGTGGGAGATTTAGCGATAGTATAGTAACACCCCATCTAAAACCTATTGTGGAGAGAATCAGATGTACTTCATACCCTTTCCGTTGAGAGAATCTTCTTTTCGACACGACATGACACGAAGCAGGAAGGGGAAGGGCAAGTGGAAAGTGCATTAAGTTGGCTTTGAGTAGGAGAGGTGCAAGAGTCGCGATCCGCGATCCCAGGTCATAAAGGGCTTTTGTTGTACTTGGTAGCCTCTTCTTATTTGATGAGATTGATTAGTCTTATACAGTGGATGTAACGTGGTCGGATCCTAGAGTACCCAACTAAAGGAGAAGGAGAAGTTTAAGCTTGTTCATATATACATATTCCTACAAGATAATCATGACACCTGGAGTATATACAAATACACGTCCACATATTCTACAATCCCCAACACACACCAAACTCACCCCGTCTCCTCAAGCAACTCAACAACCAACTCCGTAATCCTCCCCGTTCCCTGCCCCTGAATCGCACAAACAGGAACAACCTCCACATCCCCCTTCCAAAGCTCTCCTTCCGTCACTCCACTAGGATGGACCTCCTCCCCTTTTCCAACACTCCCGAGATACGCCTTCAATGCCAAAAAGTTCTCTTGCGTTCCCTCCTTATCGGCTTTCGTGGCAACGACAAACCACGGTTTCTTCCCGATACTGAGGACACCTGGTTTTAATTCGGCACCCACAGCGTCGAAATCACCACCGATGACGATGGTTTCGGGGGCGTTGCGGACGGCGTCGTCGATGTTTTGGAAGGGACTCCATTCTACGATTGGGTCGGAGAGGGTGGCTTCTTCGACGATCTTCATCTGTTCGTAGAGATGGACTTCTTTCCAGAGAGATTGGAGAGCAGCGACGGCATCACCGGCTGAGAGATCAATAACGAAGACTAGGATCCTTGCGCGCTCGACGTGACGGAGGAAGGAAACTCCAAGTCCACGATCGAGATGTGCGTCTTTTACTAGACCTGGGATATCGGCTATGGTGTAATTTGTTCGGCTTGTTCCATCGCTGTATTTCGATGTGGTGATGGGACGGCTCTTGTGGTCGTCTAATACTACGGTTCCAATGTTGGGTTGGAGAGTTGTGAAGGCCCAATTTCCTACTCGTGCCCGACTTTTACTCATCGCGCGGAGGAGGCTACTTTTTCCTGCGTTGGGAAGACCAACCAGTCCGATATCGGCTAGAAGTTTGAGTTCTAGAGAGATGGTTATAGACATTCCCTGTTCCCCCTTGCTCGCGAATTTCGGACGAGGGGCGGCTTTGGTAACGAAATGAGGGTTTCCCAAGCCACCTACCGCGCCTGCGGCTAGAAGAAGTGGTCTTTCCATAGGAACAGATAAATCCAGAGAAATTGGTGCTGCCACCTGGGAACTTGCTAGTATTGAACGTCTAGCTTTTGGTAGACTAGGAAACTCGGCGGAAGCAATGTCTTCGCGTGTAGTGGCGGGATAGAGGAGCCATTTATCACGACTCCATTTCCAGGGCCCATTTGGGTCTACACCGTCTTCTTTTCCTGCTTCCAACTTCTGTCTATGTTCCTCAATCGCGACGGGATCTGTACGTTCGATTTCTCGAATGACCGTTCCGACGGGAACCTGTATAATTACATCATCTCCTCTTTCCCCTCCCTTTGTACGTCCTTGACCATTCTTCCCTCTTCCTGCTTTGAGAATCTTTCGTCGGGCGAGTTTGTGTAGTGAGGTCTCGCCTCGGACAGCTTGAATGTAGATATTTCCTCCGCTACCTCCATCGCCCCCGTTTGCTGGACCGGCAGCTATGTATTTTTCTCGTACAAAGGAAATACAACCATGACCACCACTGCCTGCCAGAATTGTTACGGTCGCCTTATCGGAGAAGATTGTGCGCGAATAATCTGAGGGTGGAGGATTGAGATGTGATCCTTCTTCAAAGGTTGGTATGGATGGATCGGCTGGAGGGAATTCGGGTGTTTGGAGGGGGGAAACATTATCGGAACGTCGTTGAAGGGAATTGACAAGTGTCCGCGTAGGTGTACGTGTGGCGGAGAAGAGGATGGGGTAAAGAAAGGGTGTCAGAGTCCCTTGTACGAGAGAACATCTTGGTGGCATGCTCGAGGGGTGGTGGGATGTTCATCAAGCTTCCCCAGTAAATGTTTTGGAGCTTGGATCTGATATTGGCGACGTTCATGGTATGATGAGGTTGCCGTAGGTGTTTTCATCACGTGGGGTTCGTCACATTTTCCAAGCTTAGGTACCGCACCCGACACCAGGGTATTTGAGTAACAGCCCAACTGCAGGTGTCAGTGAGACAAACATCAGTTGTCATCGTCACCTCGCAACATCATGCAACTTAATATGGGATGTTGGCCATTTCATCCGTCTGTGTAGAGATACCAGTATGCCTATGCCCGTCTTGTATGAGAACGAGAGAGTAATAAACGATGGCCACACTATCCCACGTCAGATTGTACTCGGCTTCGAATTCTTCTCTGCAGCTACTTCTTTATGATTGCAGGTGTTCGACGATACCTGAGGAGAGTCGGGAAGTAGAGCCGCCACTTTAGCGGTGTAGAGATATCGGATATGAAGCTGCATATCTCCGCATCAGATTCGCCGAGTCCGAGTCCTCGAGGATTTTAGGGATTATTTTATATAGTTGCATGCAGCAAGAGTAGCAGCAGTTGAGTGGTGGTGCCCCATTATGTTTGATGTACGGAGTATGCGGTGCCTTCTCCATGTTTTCCCTCGTTCGGGATTTCTGGATCTTCTGCATCATCTTTGCCCACCGCTCATCCACCAGCCGAGTTGAGGGATCCTCGACCGATTGGATGGATTCGTGAAGTCGAGACAGTTCTACCCGAAAAATGTTTCTTGTGATACTTGGGTGTGTATCTGAGCGTTCAACGGCTGCAGCTCGTTGCCCCCAACTGTGACCACTGACAGGTACTCAGTAGGGTAGCTGTACCTCACAATCAACTTTTCGGCCCACGCGATGCATTGCTACCCATAGCATTCGAGCCACGACTGTCTCGAGTCCCACTTTCCCAATTCTCCCCCTCTTCACTCGCCCGTCCCCTCTTTTTCCGTCTCCTCCACACTCAATCAATAATGGGCTAGGCCGAAGATGGCCTGGAGCTTCATGCATAGTTGGAGCTTGCATTGGTTGTTGACTGCAATCTCATTCTGACATTCTCGTGCGGTTACTGTTGCGGTTGCGGTTGCGGTTGCTGTTGCTGTTGCTGTTGCTGCCCGGTCGTCTGAATACCTTCATCCTCACACCTTTCCTGGACCGCTTTACACCTTACATACTAACTACACTACCCCACGTATACACTGCTCTCTAAGAGTGGCTGATCTCTACTCTGCTTCTATTTACCCCTCTACTCGTTGTATGCACCACAATCTTCGACATCACTGGACGTCGGTTCCAGTCGCATGTACAGCGTGATCTCACCATCCGCCTCTCCCTCTTCCTAAAAGGTCCGTCATTTCCACAACACCCAACATCTCTCTCCCTTCCCTCTCCAACCCCAAATCACTCCCCTCCATCATGGGGCTTCCAATGCCTCCTATAAAAATCATCACTACCCCAAACCTCTCTTTCTGCCTTTTGATACCCACCGTCTTCTCCTTCTCCTAAGCACGACAAATTCTCATTCCCCAACAACTTTATACGCTCTTTTATACTTTGTTGATTTGAATATCCATGCCATACGTCCGCCCAGAAATCATGTTGATCAAAAATGCTAGATTCCGAAGACCACTCCAGATCATGGATCCCGATTGTGCGATTTGTTCCCAGCCTGCTCTCGCGCAATGTGAGTGTGAGGCCAAGGGTTTGGATATAGCAGTGCGACAGGCAGAGCAGAGGATGATGACTCAGATGTTTAATGATATAAGGTATTACTCCCTTCACTATACCTCAGAAATGACGTTACGGGAAGGTGCAGGAATGGGGACTTTCTTTTTTGACTTTTCCCCGCAACCCCGCCATTTCGACTTCTTGTATTGCGACGACGCAGGAACCCCAAAAGCAAAGACTCGAGAAACCCCACAAGACAGGAAGCACATGCTAATCAATTGATCTCATCAGAACCTGGGTCCGAGGCCACGCCCAAGACTACATCCTCTCCTACTTCTCCATGCTCACAACCCGTCGAAAAGACCAACACGCCCAGATCCTACGTCAAATCAACGAACGCGCAGCCTACTACTACAACGCGCGTCCCCATCCCTCCGAAATCGCCCACGCAGATGCCGAGCTGAAGCGCGGCATAGACGATGACTGGAAACAATCCGTGCAACGATACCCCGAAGTACTAGAATATTTCTATGGCTTGGTGGATTTGAATTTGCCCCATGATGAGGAGCCTGCGGTTAGGGATCCGCCGTTGAGTGCACTGGGAGGTGGATCGGGCGCGAGGAAGGTGAGGGTTAGGAGTCCGGATCCTAGAGAGAGGGAAAGGGAAAGGGAGCCAGAAGTACGAAGAAGGGAACGTAGGAGGAGTATTGGACGGAGGGAAAGGGAGAGGGGTCCGCCTGTTGCGCCTATGGGCGTGGCACCTCCTCCTGGACATGGCAGGAGACAGAGCACGGGGTTTGGAGGGGGGCCGGGATACAGTTATGTGCCGCCTAATAATATGTATTGAGGACGGTGATCGGGAAGAGAGGGTATATATGTGCTGGCATCCTTGGGTTGGATTTGTGGATATGGGATCTGGTCAGAGATGCAGACGACCTCTGTTCCTCAATATATGTTAGGCAGTGCCTGGCAAAAAGGGCGATCTGTGTTGGAACTTCAGAGTTCAAATTCTCCTCCGAGAATCCAGGCTCACGGTAGGCGAAGGCGGAGTTGGACAAGACGGCCTGGATTCAGAAACCACGGGACACGAAGTTACGAAGTTACGACTACGACTACGACTACATGAGAGAACGACAAAATGACATATAGACCTTGCACCATCGAATCCTCGGAGACACGTGAAGGAGAAAAAGTTGATGACCTGATCGATATATATGCCACTAGTTCGTTCCGGGGTTACCTTTTCGAGCGGGGATGTTTTCGAGGGAAGGATGTTTTCTGCTGCATAGCATGCATGGTTGGCGTATTTGTAGCGTTTCTTTTGCTCTTTTTTCCTCTTTCTTTTTTTGTTCTGGGTAGCGGGCGGGGACGTTTTTGAGGAGGGGGTTTTTTGTGATGATGAGGTTTATGTTTGATGGTGTTTGATGAATGATGTTGGGTGGGTTTGATGGGGTTGGATATAGGTTCTTGGAGTAGAGTAAGGTGAGGTGAGAATAGGGTACGTATATAGTATATTATGTAGTATGATTCCCCTCAATATTACATCATATCATATCATATCATATCTCACTCCTCGTATCCTCCCTCCCCCTGGGGGTTTTTTCCTTGGTTCTATCACTTTCTATACAGATTCTCTAGGGGATGGATCTTTAACTCGGGAGAGCCCTCTTTAAAGCTTTTCCCCCCGTACCTACTAGACCATCTACGATCTGTATATCAAAACCAAATAATGGGTGTGGGTGTGGATCTCTTTGTATACCTTTACCTTTTAATTTCGTAAAAAAAGTGAGGGACGAGTGAGTATACGAAGGGCGGGAGGGAAAGTTTGCTAGGGTGTGGCTGGGTGGTATATGTTTATCTGAATCTTTGGGAGGCAGGGAGGGTGTTGGTGTTGATTGGGGTGTTGATGTTGAGGGGTGGGAGATCTTTGATTGGTAGGTGAGGTGGTGTGTGTTTTTGGATACAGAGAATAGGGAGGGGGGAAGAGGAGGGGGGAATGGGGAGGGAATGGTGTTTAGGGAAGGGGGAGGAGAGAGGTGTATGAAAAGTCAATGGGAGGTAGCATCTTTGTGGAATTCTCAGGTGGGATTGTTGGGTGATGTTCGTGGGGGTGGGGGTTATATTGGGTCTTGGAAGGGGCTGAGGTGAGGTGGGGAAGGGATTAGTTGAAGGGAGTGGTGGGGAGAGTAAGGGTGTTGTATACATAGGTAAGTAGATAATAGTCTGTAGGGAGGAAAGGAGGAAAGAAGGGTATTTGGGTTGAGTGGGTTGGGTGAGATGTTGGGATGGGATGGATAGAATAGGATAGGGGATTAGGAAGGTAGTATTGGTAAGTGGTTGGTTGATTTGGGTTTATACTCTTCCTTAGGCGAGAGAAGAAAGGGGAGGAGAGGAGAAGTAAGGATACGTATATAAATCCCTTCACTCTTCCTCTACGAAACTCTAGAAGACAATACACATAGAACGGAATGGGAAATACTACCGATATCTAGGTATATTAAATAATACACGAATTACACTCTCTAGATGAAGACAGTACGTACGCATCTATATCTATACTCCCTGGTGTTTTAAAAGGTGCGGTGGGGTAGGGAGGGTCTAGGTAGGTTCTGAATGATATGAGTGTGGAATCTGAATTTTGGACTTGTAGGAGGGGGTTGTTGTTGATAGGGATTTTGGTGTTGATTTTTTTGGGTTCGTGGGGGGTTGGTGAGTGAGTAAGTACATTATCAAGAACATTCGTCTCAAGAAGTAAGTCCAGAGGAAAGGATCTAGTAACGTATAACGGAAGGGATTTTTCATAAGAAAAGCTACGTATACTAAGCTTCTTACTAATATACTTAATAACCCGGGTAATTTTACTCTCCACTGGGAAAAGTCTTGATGGAGAATTTTGGCAATACGCTCTAGAACAATGGAAATCAAATGGGAGGAAGCGGAAGGCACATGTCCTAAACGATGAGGCGCATGGCGCCGTAAACCCCTCTACTTGTACTGCCAGTCACATTCATAATATTAGGTGCTTGAAGTTTCTAACTTCAATCTGTTTAAACATAATCCAAACTTTACTCTTTCAGCTCTCTTACTACCGTCGAAAGATACTCTACTATCAATTTATTTATATGGAGGGAAGTACTTATATATATACTCTTTTCCGTGAGCGGCCTAATTCGTCAATGTTTCATGTTGTGACTTGAACTTCAAAATTAAGAGAAGAGAACGGCAAGTGTGCCAAAGATGACAAGGGAAGAGAGCATGGTCTGCTTTAATGAGGCGAAGAGATTATATCAGGAAACAAAGGTACAACGTTAAAGTAAAGATATATTCAACATTCCAGAGATAATTTCTACTTTATTAGGAGATAATGTTTCAGATGGTACAACGACTTACGCAAATGCTACATTGTAAAACAGAGCAAGGTATCAAACTCAAACATGGTGTACATTAATATTACCGAAACCAACGAAACCGAGACAGTGGAATCGAGGCAATTCTGCACAGAATAAACCATATAGGAACCGAGTTAAAAGCATGAAAGAGGTTTCAAATAGTTCCGTACCACACCGGGAAACTCTTCGAATTTATGCGCTCTACAAAGAAGTCACTATTTCATTTTTCATGAGATTCTAGAAGGTTCCTGCGATGTCCCGGGTATTTAAGGGCTTTGGAGTGAATACCGGATGGATCGCATTTTTAGCTAACTAGGAGAGTCAAGCGGCTGTATTCATTACTCGAGTGAAGAAGGGACACTTACAAAAGTCCTGATTCTCAATCCAGGTGAATCAAAATGAAGTTTCCGGCAGCTGGGGGTCACTGAATGGGCTTCAAAGGACTTAGAATCCGGGGGAATTTTGTGTAACGATGCTATATCTACAAGACAGCTCGCTTTGAAATGAGTTACATATATGGCAATTTCCCTCGCTACACTTTCGATCGTGCCATATATCGACGCGCCTTCGTCAACAAGCAATGGACTTTTTTACGAGAAGTAGAAGCCGGGAAAAGAAAATCGCTGCTGCGTATGGGAATGCTTATAAGCCCATTTCCAAACATTCGGACATCGGCATTCCTACCCATTCTGCAATCAAGGTTACGGACGGAGGGGAGCGCGTGGAAGTAGAGATCAACTTTCGGGATGATGCACCTCTCTCACTTGTGACACATGGTGGCGAGCATTCCTTGCTGCGCCGTAAGTGTCTCCAACTCAAGTTCTTAACATATGCAAAATAACTAAAATTGCGCATGTCATAGTCGACCAAACGATGCTTAGTATCCTCCCTCGATACGCAAACATCGCACGGTCCCTCAAAGTCATCATTCTCTTCCCATCAACCCCTGCATCCGTCCACTTCACCAGAACAAGCGAGACCTTCATCCGCACACTCTCCAACCTGATCAACTCTTTCCAAAATGCCGACAGTATACAAGTCGCTGCAAAAATTGGCGTAACGCATGATCGCGAAACGAATACGGAGGACTTCATTTGGGAACAACTAAAGCATATGGTTTATTTTTACAGATGTACGGTGAAAGATCTGAGGCTTTATATTGCGGCTGGGGAGGGAATGGAATGGCGGTTGGTGCAGGAGGATAGCCCGTTACATCGGAGGTTGATGAGCCATAAGGAGGGACTGGTTAATGGGGGAGCTTTCTCGGATGTAGGGTCTTCTTAACTCAATTTCATGTCTAGCAACTCAATATACTATGTTCTCGAGGCAATTGGCGATAGAGTGAACGTAGCAAACCGCGCCTGAGTTCCAAAATACTTCTGATGATATCTTCTAGTGCTAGATGATCTTCACTTTGTGTAGTTTCAAATCCACATTCATTTTATCTCCGTTCTTCATCGAAGAAGCTGTTGAATTTGAATGTCTTAGTAAATTGATTTCCTGTTCACATTCTCGGTTGTCAAGGATCATGATTTGGCAGGAAACATGGAAGAGAAGAGTCTTTATTGTTATGTAATTGTACCACCAGGCATTCCGAAACGTAAGACACCACCAGTGTTATCTACCACTTTCTACGTTTTCCTCAATCGCCATTGTATCTAGTCAACAAAAGTCCAACATGATTTCAAATCCCAACTCAGCCTCGCTTGCTTCAGGAATAATCGGAAAATGGACGTCTTCTTGGGTCATGTGCAGGTTTACTCGACGCCAGAAGTATCCTTTCGAGTACCATCTCCCGAGACATCGGGGCTTTCCAACACTTTGGTAAGAGGAGCAGTGTAAGAAGGAAGAAAACCGATGCTTCGGGCTGGGAAGGCTACATTTTGTGCCAATACACCAATCGCTTTCTTAGCTTCAGCGACCTCATTCGACAAACTCAATCTCTCCGTGTTCGCTTCATCCTCTCGTATCTTCGAATTGATAACCTCAGCTTTCATCTCTTCCAACTCGGAAACGACCTTGCCCAGCTTTGTTACCATCTTATCCTCCATGTCATCCATATAATGCACAAAGTACTCCATAATTATTGCCATACAAACTGGCGCACAGGCACCACTAGCATTTGCCAAATTTTGTGACACAGCGTCAATCTCGGCGAGAAATTCTACGCACAGCTCTTCTTGTTCACCCCCCCTTTTGCCTCTTCGGCCCATGACTCTGTCCACGATCTGCTTGACGAAGAACTTTGTTAGTTTGATTCGAGTAGGCATAACCTCATCAATTTTCACATGATTCAATGCATGAGTTGTTGAAGTCGTCCAAAGGCTGCTGTAAATAATCTGACTCGTCTCTAGTGATCGGCCGGTTCCTATGTGGTTCTCATTTAAGGGGCCTTGACGGAGGTGTTGGAATAGGTGAGCGAATTTGGGGAATCTCTGCTTATTACTGGCTATTGCAGATCTTCTTACGTAAGTTTCGATATCGCAATTGTCCAAAACACCTCCCCTCGTTTGACGTGTCTCGCTTAGCTTCATCATCGTGCCATACTGCTCCATATGAAAATCAACTTCTTCAACAGCTTTGAGCAAAAACCCTTTTGAAAGTGCTTCGAGTTCCTCGATAGTTTTCACATTCGCCTGCACGGCTGGGATTCTTTCGCCGGTTTCACCATCGGAGCGGGGATCGACTTGTACTTGGCTTGAAACCTGAGGATCTTCAGTCTTCTTCTTCTTCTTCTTCTTCTTGCGTGTTTTTCGTCTCTTCTTCTCCTGGTTATCAGGTGTGTTTGTCGATGCAATCTCGTCTCCGCCGTTAATGGGCACATTAGGAGTCTGGTTCGCGCTGATTACCTCTTGTCCGCCATTAGAACGGCAGTTGTCAATCATCTCAAAGTCTTGCCTAGAATCTGGTGATGTGTTTTGGGGTAGTGTGGTGGCACCGTTTTCGCAATAGGATTCATACAATAGCCCTCCATCTTCTGCAACCAAGCTTGTAGCACGTTTCTTTTCGAATGTTGACTTCTTTAGACTATCGAGTTCGATTGTCAAAGCCTTAATTTTGTCCTCCAACTCGACCAACCGATTTTCTTTAACGCCACTTTCATGGTTCAAAGATTTGAGTGTCACTTCTCATTTGTCGATCTCTTGTTGTTTCTGTCTGATCTCGCGATTCAATTTCGAAATTTCAGCATCCTTGGAGGTTAGCTTTTCATTCTTGCCGGAGATAATGTCTTCGAGGCGTTGAATCTCATGGTTGCGTTGTCTATTGTTATTTCTGGAAGCCATGGTGCCGTCTCTGTGGTAGAGGTGTCGCCAGGTTTCGAAACTCGTTGCTTGAACCAGAAGATAAATTCGGATAACATTAATTCATGGAAGAAGATCAATCATGGTGGCCGCAATGTGTGAGAGCAGGACCGCTATTCACGTTTGAGCTGAGAGAATATCAAAGTTGGGCTGAGAGACGGTCAAAGTTTTGCGAGACTCAAGCTGGCTTTGTTGTGAAGACTAGACGAGTGAGATAGATCGGGCTTTCGGAAATTGCATCGGTGCTATAGCCAGCCAAGTTACCGATCTATTCTTTCCGACTTTCAGGACTACTCCTGCACATTTAGCTTAGCTTAAGATGTTCTCAGATGGAGTGACACTTTGACAAAGCACCGAGCGAACCACTTTTATATTAAAGGTACAGCGCATCTAAATTACCCGCCTTGAACCAACTTTCAGTTCCTTGCAAAAACAATTCACGGTTGATTCTGAAAATGCCACCGCCTCGCTTAGGCTAGGCCCGATTAGGAAATGTCTAGAATCTGCCAGGTCAAGCTTGACAAAAGAAGCCCCCAGATTCAAGGTGAACTTGACCAGAGACAAAAACACTGCACAGAGTTTTTCACCCACAGATCAAGAACTCCGTCACCTCCAACGACAATATGACCTCACAGAGTCGCGGAGGTCTTGAAATCAAGCTGCAGGCCACACCAGAAGATCCTATCAACTCCAATAAGGCAAAGCTCGGTGTCCGTGTGGAAGCGTCGCAATTTCGCGTCGAGTGTTGCAAACTCCGCCTTGAATCGTGCAAGCTCAACCTCGAAGCAGATATACTGAAATATCAAAATGCGGTCGCGGGATTCGAAAAAGAGCATTCTATCACAAAAGGATTCGAAGATTCGACTTTACCTGATTTTCTTCCGCTGGTCAGAGAGAGAAGCCGATTTTATTCCAGCAGATGTGAGCTTAGTAGCAGAATTCGGGCTGGAGAAAAAGACTGCCGAAAGCTTCAAGATGCCCTTGACAATGCTATTGAGGAACTCCGGTTGGAGACTGAAAGTGAGCAAGCTGCAAGTACAGCCGGCAGAATATCCCAGCTAGGAGAAATCAATCGCCTACTATCAAAAAGCGCGTCCATAGAGCAGCTGACACGAGCAAATCAAATACTGGAGGAGCAACTTGGAGAGCGGGATGGAGTAATCGCGACACAAGAGGAGATTATCAAGGTCGACGCGGAATTGTTTTTCCAAAGAAGCTGCATTGTTCAAGAACAGAACACGAGGCTCAGAGACTTGGAATGTCTGTCAAAATATCACCCACATTCGGAAGCCAATCTCATCGCCGAGAAAAACAACAAAATCGTTCAGCTAGAGAGAGAATTGGCGAATCTGCATTTTGAAAATGGAACTCTCAGGGGCGGTATCAAGGAACTGGAGACCCAGGTGAAGGAGCTTAGTAAGAAATGCAAGATTTACAAAGAACGGGTTAGATTGGCCAATAATTCTCGGGACAATGCACGGGTAAGTCACTTTCCTTAGGCGCGGATGGTAATTTGTTGAAAACACCAGTCTTTCCACTAACCTGTGATTAGGATCGTCTCATTACAGTCAAGGCGGAGCGTGATACGGCAGAAGCCAATGTCAGCAGGATAATCGATTTGGGTCAGCTAGTTGCATCGTGCAAGGCACAGAGCCAACAGCTTACCGAATTAGCTTCAATCTTCAGTAAAGAAAATACAGCAGAAGACGAAATCTCTCGAAAGGCTTCCACCGATGACGATTTGCCCATACAACATGAAAATCCGATACAACCATCTTCTGCAAGTCCCTCGAAACACGAAAGCCTCAGTACCAACGTTCCACAAGAGAGCCTCGTAATGCCAACATCTGAGCCTTTCGGCATGAGCACGAAAGCCTCCAGACTCAGCGACCTTTCTCGAAAGTTTGGGCGGGTCATTATCGCACTCCTTTCACATAATAACAACACCATGCGGTCGCCAATCCGAGAGGAAAATAACATCAACGGTTTTCTCATCCTTGATTATATGCACGCTGCAGTTGAAGGCGTCTTTGTCTGGGCCGCTCTACTATCGTCAGGTGCTGTTGTATTATGGCCAATTCTCCTAGTGGCACATCACATAGTATATGGCCTCGCATAATTGTGTCATAAAACGAGAAGTTTGGATGAGAGGGGAGCTGAATGATACTATTCTCATGGGGATGAAACGGGAAGAAAGTGCAAGAAGAAAGGGGTGGCTTCTCATGATGTAGCCTGGGGTGGTAGAATTGCAGACAAAAATTGATTGCGGTGAAAAAGGGGTTGCGGAAAAAACGGTTGCGGACAAAATTGGTTTGTGCTATATATCAAGGGAAAATGAATGTAATAGCTGAAGGTACAAAGTGGGAAGATTGCCAGCAGAGGTCTCAGGATGGTTACTGCAATAAGAGATATTGACAAACATTCGGGGCTATTATTCAGCATCAAAATATAATTCACTTACATATTTTCAGGTAGTACTTCAAACAGTTGTTAATTGATGTGACTAAGTACAGTACCTATCCCCTCAACTACGACCAGAACCTCCTTGGTCTGTGCACTTTATTGGAAATAGCGAGTGACCTAATAGAACATCAGCTTTAGCGTGGAAATATACTACATTTAATGGAAAGTAATGGAAACGGCTTTTCTTTATATAACCAGACATTATAATTGTTGTACATAAGTGTGGTCTAATGTATACTGTCTTCCTTTTGTTATTATTAGTAATTAAGCCTTATGTAACTATTTTTATGTCTGTTCCCTCGGGCAGGGTAATTAAGTAGTATTCTTATAAGTTCGAAGCGAATTATAGACCTTTCTAAGAATAGGGTACATAGAGCGCAAATCCCTAGGTCTATAGTATCTATTCGCGTGTTTTTTAGCACAATAGAATCAGAATGATACAGGTTTGTAGATGCTAAGAAACTTAGTGTTCCTACCCCTGTAATGAGAGGTCCTGGCCGCAGTTGAGGGGAGAGTGGTAATTCAGATTCGCATTGACTAGTGGCGTCTGTCGCTCTTTATTCGGAACTAATACCTTTTCTAGAGATGTAATACAAACAGATACGGGTTGTCTGTAGCTTTAGATACATATATTTGCTTATTATTGTTGCCTAAAGGGTTGGGAGCATGTCTCTTCGGATCCTGACTCCTGAAAAAGCTTCCGATTTTGTACCGAGCAGACGCTGTTTTGAAGAACATATTTCTAATTCTACAAAGGCCAGAAAAGTATATACCAAATTCCATTAGACTCCGAATTGAATAATCAACATTTATACCAGTACTCGAATTCTTTTTAGTTACGTTGTGTTGTGCTGGGTCTACTTTCTCTTTTGCTCCACTTCCTTATTTGATCCACTTATAGTTCTGCTGCCTAAATGCTTCATGTCTGCCTAAACCTTACACTCTTTATATAAACACCTTAGATAGCTACCTTTTACAATGCAATCAATTCTCCATGACCTTCAGTACCCAATACCCTTTCAACCCAATACGTTGTTATAATTAAGTGTTCGAATGGTACAAAAAAAGTATTATTTGGGAGGAAGAAAATAGGAAGTTTTCCAGGGCCCGAAGACCGTGTCAAGCTAACGTCGTCCCGAGTAACATTTCGGCTAAATATATGTGTATAAAAAACAAGAGCATAAATTCGTATTCTCGGCTAACACAATGACAGTACCATAACTCTTCGCAAAGAACCCCCCCGTAAGAGCCCTGTAATAATTCGATGCTACCCATGCAACGCCTATCCTCTCGGCCTCGAAAATACCAGACAACCAATTCCGACAGATTTCCTCGGCTACTCGCCATCGTGCCCATCACCCTTTACAAGAACCCTCAAAGTTTCTCTTCCCATCTTATGATACCCTTTGAGATGCTAGATCAGATGATATTTCCTTCTGAACGCGTTGTTTCCAACGTGTCTGGTACAGAACGTGCAAGCATAGATTCCTGGCAAGAAGTTACGGACATGTCGATTAAGCGAGTCAACTCGGGAAAAACCAGAACCGCATGTGCACTTGTACGAAGAATGGCCTGACTGCTTGGAATGATCTTGAAGTGCGGTGTTGGATCCAAAGATCGTGTAACATGAGCTGCAAGTGTTTGGGGGACTCGGCGCCTGAAAGTGGGTTGGTCCTGTGCTGACCGTGGAGTGTTGTGGGATTACTCGAGTATCATTGAAGGGTCCCGGCTCAAATAACTCGAGAGGTCGTGCATGTGGTTGCTGGTAGCTGTGTTTTGAGGATTAAAATAGATTCACATTCTTCAAGGCGTCTGGACTTACATAAAGAGGTGTTGAGGGTTGCTGAAATTTGAGGCAATGGTCGAGAGGTCTCTTGAACCTGTAACTAGCCAATTGTAAACATCTCGCTCCGTTGCACCTATATCCTGCATCGCACCGTTTTGTGATAGGCTGGAGCGGGATGACTCCCACATGCTGCAGTCACGTGATGTCAATATAGGCCTCGTCACGGTCTCCTCTTCTTCTGCGGAAAACTTTGGAGGCACACAAGCCTGAGGCAAAACGGGGCTCTTCGACATATCTCCGTGCGTATCAAGACACTTTTCGAGAAGTTTGGAGGTTTTTTGTGATTGTGGTAGGGACATTGTGTCTCCGACTGCAACTCTCCTATGCTCGTGTATGAGACTTTCTCGCCCAATATTCCAATGCAATAGTTTAACAATAATCAAAGGGGATACTCTAGATATATACTGGCTCAACATTCAAAAAGATGCTACCTTACCGACCTGGGATCCGCCATGCCATGAGGCTCTGCAGATTGACGGTTGCCTCTTGCACCCATTTATCAGATTGACGGTTGCCTCTTGCACCCATTTATCAGATTGACGGTTGCCTCTTGCACCCATTTATGAAAAATACGGTGGTGCGCAAAATTGCGAACCATTATATTCGCGCACATGTCCACCCACCCACATCTTTTCTTCTCTACCTACATAACCTCCAAAAATAAATGCGTCAACAGCTGAACGTCATGTGACATTTATCGCGTCTGAAGGAACCTCAGGGTCATAGGATTTTGTTCAAGCGTTAGATGCATTAGACAATAAAATCATGCTTTACTTCTATCTATTCATGAGGATTGAGAATATCTCATTTGAGTATCGTCTATGTGCCCGCGCTGTGATCTTCTCTAGATTATTGAGATAATAAGACAATATCTATATTTTAGTACCCCTATAAAAATATACTTATTGTTAATGCTCATGAGTATCGTGCAAAAACCACGAGAAATAGTATTCAATACTTTTTTACTCTGCTATAGTCGCTACCAATGATTATCATTCCGCCAGCTTTTTTTATCTGTTGTTATCAGAACTTTGTTAAGTCTCGCGAGAGAGATAATAAGTACAAGTAACGGTCGTCCTATGACAGGACCTGATGAAACACCGGAAATTGTGATTCCGTTTCTGAGCAGTACATGGAGAGTCACTGAGAATTTCATGGCCGGGTAACAACAAACAGTTTAGTGATTGGTTTGACGAGGGCCGCCCCCGCCCTACACCCAATGCCCGCCCAATTTGCCAGCATCACTATGTGCGGGGTACCTGCTTAGCGCCCAATCCACCCAAAACAGAAATATAAGCAGCGTGTGGTCTAAGGTAGCGAGTTTTCCTCTTCTCACGGTCTCTCAGCTCACAATACCCATGTAAGATGGGCGTCACAATTCTTGAGCTCTCGGACCCTTAGAAAACATTCATTCAGTGTTGCAGTATAATCATTCCCAGAAACACAGGACGAATAAGCAACCAAAACTGAGAAAAGGGTATTTCTATTTCATATAAGTTAGCTGCCGAATTTCAACTTTAACGTCGCAACAGTAATAGTGACGAATACTCAGATCTAGAATATCACAAAAGCTATCATCAGTATCGGCGATTTTTATGAAGCCAATGGGTTGCTAGATAAGTTGATAATGCATTAAAGTCACTAAATACAGTGGTTAGTCATTACCTGCTAGCCTGTTTGATCTAAGTTCTTATACTGATTAGTAACTATATATACGGGCCTTGTAGTAACTCACAAAACCCTGATTCGTAGTTTTATATGAATGGTACTAGGAAGATATTTTCAAGGGAGTTCTATGGACTTTTATTGCACCTGGGTCTCTCATTTTCTATTTCCCACAACAATAGGGACACAAACATATCGACCTAAGAAACCGAAGGAGAGGAAGCTTCTCGTGCTTATGTCGCAACTTTTGACCCAATGAAATTCATGTTTCGATAGTCGATAATTAGTTAATATCGTCGCAAATTTGCATACAATCATGTATCAAGCTGTTCCTCTTAGAGTCATATGTGTTAAAGAAGGCTGTCAACGAATTAACCTCTACTGCAAGCAGGGAAATGCTTTTTTTGTAAAGCGTGTCTCGGCATACCTTCAAATTCAAGCGAATCAATTTCTGGTGGTCCAAGACTAAGCAACCAATCAGCAGAATACCACTTTAAATCAACTCAAAGTTTTGTTATTCTCTTCCCTCCTTCAACAGTTCACTAATTCCTCTGGTTCATCTCTTCAATCTTCTCCCGCGAAGTGTGCTAGAAGATGCCTGACAATGAACCTATTCTGCTTGAGCCTGGCCGTCTGCTATCGCCAAAGGCATCTATTGTCCTCGCTAGAGATTGTCAAGTCACAAAATTTGCTTCTCGATGACGAGAGTACCAAGAGCCTAGTATCACAGTCTTTGTACGGGTGGCCGTTGAATCCGACGTACAGCAAACGGTCAGTAAACAATTTTGTGTCTACGGATGGTGGAAATAGAGACTGGAAAGGTTGGGGAACCTTCATGATTCGTGGTAAATTCAGAATCGCATGCCTTGCTATCAACCGATCCAATAGGGCGTTCACTAAGTACGTAGCTTGTATGTTTTTCGCTAAGCGAGCTCATGAAAAATAAACGAACCTACCTCGTGGCCCTACTTATACTTCAGAGCAAATAATTCTTCATTGTTTGTCAGATTCTTAAATCTGCTTGCTATTCATTGTATAATCTACTGCTCACTCAACCAATGCTGTCAAGTTATCTGGCGTGGGGTCTCTTCTGGGTCACGTGATCTATTGAAGAGGTTGTCTTTGAAACAAAAACCACCATGATAAATAGCTACGCGTTCAGACCGATGCAATGTCTCACTATGCGCATTCGGATTCAACAAGTAGACTAGGGTATTAAGTAACACTGAGGAGACTCATGAGCGATGATACTGAGAATAGGAGACTAAACCACCCTCGAGGACGTCGCTTTATCCTGTGTATCCTACATATTTCGCAGTGAGGTATTCACCTGGTGATGGATGGCATGGAAGGCTCGAAGACACAGACTGGACTGATTTGTAACTGAACCTTGATCTTATTACTTCAAGGTGAAACTTGTCGCAAGACAACTTTTGACAACCTCTCAAACCAAGAAACCAAGCTTACTCGTAGTCGCCAAAATACGGTGGTGGCGGTTACAAATTTACTCAAGAATGAAATTTCTGCTAGCTTGGTTCCAAATGCTTCGTAATGCAACCATATATTTCTGGATAATCGTAATCACATGGAACCATGTCGTTGCACTTCATGCATTTGTTTGGAATCGCTGTATTTAATTGCTTTACCTATTGTATTCTGTTCTATCCCAGTGCTTCCCGTTTTTCCTCAGCACTCATTGAGACCAAGGTGCATTCTCCATATCACCCAAACCACAATGAAGCCGTGATCGATCTGTCTAGTTCCCCAATAAACCCCTGAAAATATACCCCAAGCACCTTTGTAGAACCTGAGAAATAGACTGAGGAACGAAGATAGAACCTGTCTAGCATCCGGGATACGTCTGAGATTTGACAATAATTTTGTAATTATCAGTATCAAACCTACAGAGCCTTGTCAGCATCCAGATTCTCATGTGTGGTTAAGGGGAAGAGTAGAAAACGACAACTCAACATGATGAGGAATCAAAGATAGAGAAATAAAAACACTCACTCTTGGCCACACATAATACCGAACCAGTCTGCACCAGGGGGGTGTTGAGTGCAAACGTTGCGGATATTCAAGATGTACGTGGCAAGGTATCGGGCTTGTGGTTGAATATAATACCAGTTCTAGGAGTATGATTGTTAGCAAGTAGGTTTATTGAGCATGTCTCACAACCACATTGAAGATAACTTACATCATTGCACAAAACAACTCCGTCATTTCCCCAGCATGCGATTTGAATACAGCTTCGGGCCTGCACTCCGCATTCAGTTTGTCCCAGGCTGTCTACCAACTGTCAGTATTCCCAATAGAGGAAAGCAAGGAAGTATCCGCTCATGTAGTTTACCCAGCTCGTCGTAGGCTTCCAAAATGTTATAAACAGCAGCGTAAAGCCAGTGCCAATTGGTGTGATCGCAGCAGATAATGTGGTCCTAAAATCATCCCAACCATGAGTTTACTGGAATCTGAAATTGATGACTTGTGGCGAGCATACCTTGTTTCGAGGCTTGAGCTTCAGAGGCGCAGTGTCTGCAGCAACTATGCTACGCCAATCAGGACGAAGGGCATTAAGTTGGGCGTGGACAGACTAAGATCGAATTAGTATGTTGACCTGAAAACGATGTCGACGAAATGAAGTTTCATCAGAAAGACTCACCTGAACAGTGCCATTGAAAGTGTGGTTTTGTCCGTCGAGGTTAACAGTCCATTGAGCAGGAACAAGAGGGTATGGAAGATCATCGGCGCCGTCTCTGACAGTGAGGCCCTCTGCGAAAGGTGGTCCTGCAACCGCAAGAGTGATCAAGCCAATCAGGGAAAGAAGCATGGAAAGAAGCTTCATGTTGTTGGATTGCATTGGTCAGAAGACCTGTTGACGTTTGTTGTTTGAAGAGCTTGAAAGTTTCAATTGAGATGGAAAGGTGGTTTGTGTCAAAGAAGAGACGCGAAGAAGAAGTTCAAGGTTCTTGTGATGGAAGGTAGGTGGGTCCGATCTGTCCCGCCACAGCCAAAACAAGTTGACCAGACAACTAAATTAGGACTAGCGAACTCTCGCTTAGAAGGGTTCAACAAGGATTCCTTGATATCATGTTTGCATCAATCTTTGAAGTTGACTTTGACTTCTGAAAGACTCAAGAGCATGTATAAATTTGTGTTAAATTTTGAGATTCCATGCCCTGTCTTCTTATTGTAGGTCCCAAAGCGATTTCAAGCTTAACATGAAAGTTTAGTCCCCATATTGCAAGTTGTAAGGTATTTGATACTCACACACTTCGCACTAGTTTTACTGGCGGCATTTTAGAGTATCTAATCCCCACGTGTACCTCACTTTTACAATTCCAAGAGTCCCCACCTTCTAAGCGACATTATCCCTAACACTTAGCGCGCACTTGTTGAACACAGAAAATCAAAAGGCTATGGATATAAGGTCCTCTCGAAAACATGATGTGCCTATCATTCTTCATCTCTTGCTATTGTGATATCAAGCCACTCTTCTCTTTTCAACTTTCAATGTTGAATTTGATGTTGTTGGTATATGGTCCAAGACCTAAATGTTCTTGAGTCTGGACTAATATTTGATCATATTAGAAATGATTCTCAACGTACCAAGATGCGCTTATTTTCTTTAGAAGGTTATAGTGAATTTAGAAAAAGCCTTCTTGCTTTAACAACATCTATTTGAATGACAGGCCTAGGTGGTTGAATAAAGAACATTACTTATACACAACTCAGAAATTCATTGTTCTCAGCGTTCGGCAAGTGGAATTCCATTACAGAGGGGGGGCTATGGAATATTCCATTCCATTTAGAATAATTCTGGAATTATTCCATTCCATACCCCCTATTCCACTGGAATTCCATGGAACCAAGTCACATGATCCGGCAAAAGGTACGCCCGGTCCGACTACCAATAGGAAGGCCGGATTCTGGCAGCGTGTTGTTTTATTTGTATGCGACTAGTAAAGAATGGTACTTGAGTGTTGGAGACTTTAACTTCCGTAAAAACTGCGACGGTATTCCTGACTTTGACAAATCTTAAGCTCAAGGTGAAACTTGCTCACTAATTTTCAGGTCTATGCTGTCCGTTATCGTCACGTATTGTTAGTGCTGCACATAAGCATCATCCGCGTGTTTGATTCAAGGGAAGAAGGTAGATTCAGACTGAAAGTATGGTGGACACCATGTTTATTACTTTTTAAAGCTCATCGTAAATTCGAGGGCTTCCAATGAAAAGAAGGGTTCGCGTAAGCATAAAAGGGTTCACTAAGTGGTGACTTCGAGGACATATTCTTAATATCATTTCCTGGGTGTGCTATAACATACTTGTGCGTCTTGTATGAGTTAGACTCGAATTTTAGGGGGTGGGAAATATCGCTTCAAGTCGATACAAGTAATATGATATACCGAATGGTGTTTGATATCGGAATACAGATGAATAACAGAAACCATTAGCTCAGTGACTGGTCCAAGATAGCAACGCCCCCGTTCCACTTCAAACTTGATGAAAACAACAAAACCAAATCTAGAAGAACGGAAGAAAGGTATCCTCTCACCTAGATCTTCATTCCTTGCCTTGAGTACACCTGAGGAAAGATGACACGGTAAAGGCGACCGATATAGCTGTTCAGATCAAACCTCGTCAAGAAAACAACTGTGGTACTCCCATTTGAATCCAAAAATGGGGGATACTTCAACACAAGGAAAGTTTCTTATATACATTGTCTTTGCACGAAGCGAGACAGGGGTTGATTGGCTCTCGGCGTTCGGGTTATGCGGGTTGGTTGGCTCTTAGCGTTCTCGGAATAGACCCGAAAAAAACTAGTCAGGTAATCGGCACTTTTAGTGGGCACGTGTAGTACGAAAGAATAGCCCGTATCGAGCGTAAATAGTATCTAAATTGTTTAGCACTTTATATTAGATTGTATTAGTACCTATATTAAAATCCTGCCTTTTTATCCCGTTGTTTACTTATAATTAGATTTAAAAGTAGTATTTAATAGCGATTTACGATTGCGACTATAGATTTTAGTAGGCTTTTTACTACCTTACCGATATAAGGCACCAACTTTTCGACTTAGCTAGACGGAGGGTTAAAACTCCGGATCAGGTGACTAGCCTATCTACCTACTCTAATTAGTATATAAGACTCTAGACAGCTTATATTCCCTAGCCCTTCTACCACCTGAGCCCTCTATATGTAAAAAGAATATAAAAAGAGAATAATCTTAAGTTATAGTCTTCTTAACTAATTAAAAGTTTAACTAATCTTTTATATATGATTAAAGTTTTATTATATAAGATAATTATATTATATTATTGGGTTGAAAGGGTATTGGGTACTGAAGGTCATGGAGAATTGATTGCATTGTAAAAGGTAGCTATATAAGGTGTTTATATAAAGAGTGTAAGGTTTAGGCAGACATGAAGCATTTAGTGTCACGAATCACGTGTTGGCATGTGATAAGCAAAGACCAGGCGGCGTCCTGACAGGTTAAGCACCAGCAACACACTCTTATAGCAAATAGGGATGCTTAGGCTAGCTAAGCGATCCAGGGATTTCATCTGATAGAAGTCATGTGACCGTCATTGATCATTGGTGATCAACTGAGCAACGCTGAGCTGGATCAGTGGGATCAGGGTGATCA